TTTTTTTTTTTTTTTAAAAGTGGTTGTTTGGCCTTTGTATTATTTGTTTTTAGGTTACCATCTTTTTCCTTGGTATTATTCCACCCTTGTTTCAGGGCCTCTTAGTTTTTAATGCTTTCAGTATTTTATTGTATTTAAATATATGGTTTCTGCTTGCAGTGACGTTGCTGGCTTTCCTTTTCTAAAGTACTGATACATAACCTTCCTCATGGCTGGGATCACCCAACTCTATCTTTTTATTGAGTTCAAGGTTTTGACGAAAGTTTTGGTAATGAGTATTGGCTTTTTCTGTTAAATAAGTTGTGTGCATGGACAGATTGTTCTTTTGTGTTCCCTTCCTTTATTAAGAGTTTTATATTTTTTGTTTTGTTATGGGACTTTGGAAGATATTTCCATATATGGTTTCTGCCTGCAGTGATGTTGCTGGCTTTACTTTTCTACGGTGCTGATTCTTGGACTTCTTCATGGCTGCGGCTGCCGCTATTACTTGGCTTATGTGTTGGTACTGAGCTTGATATGACCTTTTTGACCCTTTTATTATTTAGATGCATGTTTGGGGTTATCAATTTCTAGAATTATTATGAAGACAGACATGGATGAAGGTTTCTCAATGTTCTACTTTTTCTTTTCCTGCTTTTTTTTTTCTTTTGCACACTGTTGCTCTTGTTTGGTTTTTGCCCTTAATATGTTCTTGATTCTTGGGTCAGGCTGCTATTAGGAACTATTAGGAATTTAGCATTCCATAGATTGTCATCTCATATCTTTGTGGATGGAGCTTTCGAGCGACGGATTGGTGAGCTGATGAAAAGCAATAATAAAACACCACTTAAATGTTTGTCTCACATTGACCTGTTGTTTGCTTAAGACTTGAGATAAAGTATGGTTTGTATGGTTGTTTTCAGGTTTTGAAAGATTCTAGTATTCACTTGCTAGTGTGGAAAGATTGGACGTCACTTGCTAGCTGGGGTTGTAATATTACATGCAGATATTTTTCTCTTGTTTGTGGCTGGAATTCTATATGTATTTTGTGATTGTAGGTAGCCACAAATATTTTCTGGTTTTTGAAGATCTGTTGACTAACGCATATGGAAATTTTATTTCATTGTCTTGGATTGCAAACTTTAGGGCCTCTTGGGATTTTTTGCTTTCAATATCCTTTTATGGTTTTGTTTGATCAGGGTCTCTTGGATATTCAATTTTGGACTGCCTCAACTCCAAGGAGACTTGCTTTCCTGGTTCTTATTGTATCACTCAAAATTCTTTTGTTTTGGAGCTTTTAGGATCCTGTGTAGTTAATGTCACTGAGCATGATATGATTCTTTTTCTCTTCATTATTTTAGATGCTGATGTGTTATCAGTTTCCTAAATTAAGAGCAGGAAGGGCAAGGATGAAGGATCTTGCTGCCAGTTGGAATGGGGGTTATTTTTTCTTAATTGTTTTGCACTTCTTTTATTCTTTGTTTTGGAACATCTTATTTTTCTAGTTTTTCGTGCAGTATATTGCTTTTTGATTGCTTTCTGTGCTTACGCGTCTTTGATTCTTTGGTTTCCAGATGCTGCTGTTTGAAATTATTAGCAATATGCAGGGACAATGATCTTACATAGCTGTGTTATATCTTTGTGGATGGAGCTCGGGAAGGAGGGATTCGGTAAGTAGATGAGAAAGTGAGAATGCCATTTTAATTGTTTCTGTTTTACATGTACCCAAAATTTACTTGAATTGCTCAAGAGAAGTAAAGGCTTGTGTGGTAGTTTTATAGGTTTGGAAAGTTTCCGGTGATCGCTTGGTAGTTTGAAAGATTGTGAATATCCTTGCTACTTGGGACAGTGATTTTATGCCGACATTTATCTTGCGTTTATTATTGGTAGGTATATGTGTGTATTTGTGATTGTAGGTTGCAGAAGATGCTTTTCTGGTTTTTCAAGTTCTGCCACTGGTTTATATGTCATTTGTGCTTTCATTTCTTGGATTTTTTGAGGTCTTCTTTTATCTGGTTTATATAAATGTCTGAAACATGTTAGCTTGAGAGGATTTCAAATTGAAAGCATTTCATTTAACTGAACAAGATGCCGTAGAATTAGCAGGCATTTATGCAATATTTTGGATGTTGACTTTATATGCTAATTTTTTTTGGTTGTGAGTTTGAGTTCTTATTGTGGGATTTATATTCTGTTGGGATCTGTTTGTGTTAGTAGGTTGGACAGGTCCATTAGAGTTTACAAGTTCTGTCAGTTGAGATTTTGCTTTTCTTGTTTTTCCTAGTGTCTGATTCGGATTTTTGCATCGTTTGGAAGTTGATATTTATTTAAAGTCTAGGCAGCAGAAGTGAAGCATGTTGTTAGAAATTGTATGTATATAGTTTTTTTTTTTTTTAGTTTAGAGCATGTTCCTGATAATTTGTTGGCACAAGGTAAATGTGTGGAAGTTGTGGCCCATTAAGGACTTCAAATTGGTTGAGCTTTTATCATTGAGATCTTTGCATGGTACGGTTTGTGTGATTGTTGTACAGGTTTTGAAAGGTTCTTGTGGTCATTTGCTATGTCAAAAAGATTGAGGACTTATTTTGCCAGCTGGGGTCATAATCTTATGTGCAGAAATTTTTCTCTTGTTTGTGTTCATAGATTGTAGGTAGCCACAGAAATTTTCTGGTTGTTGAGGTTCTGTTGACTAATGCTAATGGAAATTGTGTTTCATTGTCTTGGATTATGAACTTTAGGGCTTCTTGGATTTTTTGCTTGTAATATCCTTTTGTGGTTTTGTTTGTTCAGGTTCTCTTGGATATTCAATTCTGGATTGGCTCAACTCCAAGGAGACTTGCTTTCCTGGTTCTTATTGTATCACTTAAAATTCTTTGGTTTTGGAGTTTTTAGGATCATGTGTACCTGAGCATGATATGATTTTTTGTCAATTCATGATATGATGTATTATCAGCTTCCAAAATTAAAAGCGGGAAGGGCAAGGATGAAGGATCTTGCTGCCAGTTGGAATGGGGTTGCAGTTCTTTTATTCTTTGTTTTGGAACATCTATTTTTCTAGTTTTTTGTTCAGTATATTGCTTTTTGATTGGTTTCTGTGCTTACATGTTCTTTATTCTTGGGTCTTCAGGTGCTGCTGTTAGAAATTATTAGCAAAACGAAGGGAGAATGAGATCTTATGTAGCTTTGTTATTTCTTTGGCGATGGAGCTTGGGAAGAGGGATTAGGTAAGTAGATGAGATGGTGAGAATGCTATTTTTATTGTCTGTCATACATTTACCAAAAATTTGCTTAAATAGTTAAAGAGAAGTACAGGTTTGTGTGGTCGTTTTATAGGTTTGGAAAGATTCCAATGATCACTTGCTAGTTTCGAAAGATTGTGAATGTCGTTGACTCGTTGCTAATTGGGTCAGTGATTTTATGCGGACATTTATCTTGCGTTTATTATATGTATGTATCTGTGATTGTAGGTTGCAGAAGATACTTTTCTGGTTTTTCAAGTTCTGCCACTGGTTTATACGTCATTTCTGCTTTCATTTCTTGCATTTTTGAGGTCTTCCTTTAACTGGTTTATATAAATGTCTGAAACGTGTTAGTTAGAGAGGTTTTCAAATAGAATGGATTTCATTTGACTGAAAAAGATGACATAGGATTAGCAGGCATTTATGTGATATTTTGGATGTTGACTTTATATGCTAATTTTGTTTTTTGTTGTGAGTTTGAGTTCTTTTTGCGGGATTTATATTCTGTTGGGATCTGTTTGTGTTTGTAGGTTGGACAGATTCATTAGAGTTTACAAGTTCTGTCAGTTGAGATTTTGCCTTTCTCGTGGTTCTTAGTGTCTGATTCGGATTTTTGCATTGTTTGGAAGTTGATATTTATTTAAAGTCTAGGCAGCAGAAATGTAGCATGTTGTTAGAAATTGTATTTATATAGTTTTTTTTAATGTTGGAGCATGTTTGTGCTAATTTAGTTGGCACATGGTAAATGTGTGGAAGATGTGGCCCATTAAGGACTTCAAATTGGTTGTGCTTTTGTTTGATCTTCATCTTATTTTTTAAAAGCTTGTCCTTAATATCTGTTTGTGTGATGTTGGCTTTCATGTGCAGTGGTTTGTTGGCTGGCCATCCTGATGGAGAAAATTGATAAGTCTTCGTTTCTTGCTATTGTATTGTTTTGAGCTGTTGCAGGATCTTTCGCTTTCAGTTTTCTATTTTTTTTAAAAAAATGTTGTTTGGCCTTTGTGTTATTTGTTTATAGGTCACCATCTTTTTCATTGTTTTATGGTTTATCTTGATTCTTTGTTTTCATAGGCTGTTGTTAACAACTTCAGTTGTGGAGATTCTACCTTAAGCACATAAGTTTACATATGTTTTTTTTTAAAAAATTTTTCCATCCTTGTTTCAGGCCTATTAGTTTTTGATGCTTTTAGTATCTTTTATGGTTTTGCTTGATGAGGCTCTCTTGGATTTTCAATTTTGGAATACCTTTTAAGCTCTCAAGGAGATTTGCTTCCTGGTTCTTATTGTATTTCTTTATAGTCTTTTGTTTTCAAGCTTTTAGGATCTTGTGGAGTTATGTTGCTGAGTGTGATATTAGTGTATTGACCCTATTTTTATTATAGATTCTACCTTCTGCGCCTAACACTGAATTTATAAGATGGTTACATATGTTCTTTTTAAAATATTTTTCCACCTTTGTTTCTGGGCCTCTTAGGTTTTAATGCTGTCCGTATCTTTTATGGCTTTGTTTGATCAGGTCTCTTGGATTTCCAGTTTTGTGATAATTCTCAAGGAGATTGCTTCCAGGTTCTTTATTGTATTTAAATATATGGTTTCTGCTTGCAGTGATGTTGCTGGCTTTCCTTTTCTAAAGTGCTGATCCCTAAACTTCCTCATGGCCATCATCGCCGAACTCAATCTTTTTATTGAGATCTTATTAAATCCATCTGTTTTGATATTTATTCTTTTCAGGGTTTTCACAAAAGTTTTGGTACCATTCAATTTTGAACATAATGAGTTTTGGCTTTCTTTTCACTAAAATATGTTGTGTGGATGAACAGATGGTTCTTTTGTGTTCCCTTCCTCTATTACGAGTTCTGTTTTTCTTGTTTTGTTTTGCAACTGTGGAAGATATTTCAATATATGGTTTCTGCCTGCAGTGATGTTTCTGGCTTTCCTTTTCTAAAGTGCTGATCCTTGATCTTCTTCATGGCTGTGATCGCCACTATTACTAGGAATGCCTCTCCTTCCATGTTGTGAGTAGTGATCGCCGCTATAACGCTCTAAAATACTTGGTTTTGGTGTACTGTGTGTTGGTAGTGAGCTTGATATGACTTTTTGACCCTTTTATTGTTTAGCTGTGTGTTTGGGGTTATCAATTTCCAGAATTATTATGAAGAAGGACATGGATGAAGGTTTTTCATAGTTCTACGTTTTTCCTTTTTCCTTTTTTTTAAAATTCCCATGCACAGTGTTGTTCTTGGTTGTTTTTTGCCCTTAATATGTTCTTGATTCTTGGGTCAGGTTGCTATTTGGAACTATTAGCAATTTAGCTTTCTGCAGGAGAATGAGATTGTTACCTCTTATCTTTGTGGATGGAGGTTTAGAGGGAGGTGAGTTGATGAAAAGCGATAATAGAAGACCACTTTAAATATTTGTCTCGTTGACCTAGTGTTTGCTTAAGACTTGAGATAAAGTACGGTTTGTATGATTGTTGTCAGGTTTTGAAAGATTCTAGTGGTCACTTGCTAGCGTCGAAAGATTGTGGACATAATCTTATATGCAAACATTTTTCTCTTGTTTGTGCTTGGAATTCTATATGTATTTTGTGATTGTAGGTAGCCACAAATATTTTCTGGTTTTTGAAGTTCTGTTGACTAACGCATGTGGAAATTTTATTTCATTGTCTTGGATTGCAAACTTTAGGGCCTCTTGGGATTTTTTGCTTTCAATATCCTTTTATGGTTTTGTTTGATCAGGGTCTCTTGGATATTCAATTTTGGACTGCCTCAACTCCAAGGAGACTTGCTTTCCTGGTTCTTATTGTATCACTCAAAATTCTTTAGTTTTTGAGTTTTTAGGATCCTGTGTAGTTAATGTCACTGAGCATGATATGATTCGTTTTCTCTTCATTATTTTAGATGCTGATGTGTTATCAGTTTCCAAAATTAAGAGCAGGAAGGGCAAGGATAAAGGATCTTGCTGGCAGTTGGAATGGGGGTTATTTTTTCCAAGCTAGTTTTGTTGAGTTGTACTTTGGCTTGATGGAGTTCTAAGGTGGATCCCTATTGGTATTTATACTCTTTGAACCTGTTACTATTACTTTTAAGGCTTTCTATGATTTTGGATTTTGGACTAAGTGAATATAAGTCGGTTGTTAATGGGAATGTTGGATACTGTATTTGTAGGTCAATCTATTGGAAATGCAGTAGTAGTTTTTATGATTTTTTGACAATTTTGGTATTTGTCGGTAGGTTTTATGATTATTTGACAATTACGTTATTTGTAGGTCAATATTTTGGGAATTTGGAAGTAGGTTTTCTGGTTATTTGACAATTAAATAGTAGTAATAATATATGATATCTGATGTTTGAGGTGGTAGTTAAGATGTTGATTGAACAGATTTGAAGTTGTTAGATAAGGAAATTTCTATTTGTAACCTTCAAAGTTTGAAAAATGTTACTCTGCTATAGTTTGTCAAGTTTTGGCTGGTTTGCAGAGCTGCAAAATTAACAATTTTGGATCTTATTATCTTGTGCTGATTGATTTTGAAAAACATGTTGTTTGATGGAGTTGCGTGCAATTGTGGTGCTTATAACTTCTTCTAAGCTCTCTGTTCGTAAGTATTCTGGTGACACCCATCTCTTCTCTTTTTGTGTGTGATGCAGAAGTCGTGTAGTTTACACAATTTGGTTAGATTCTGAGGCCATTTACTGAGTTTCCTTTTAATTTTTGTGCTTGGATGTTGTTAAGCAGGGCACCGTGCAAGGTAGGAATCCGGAATGTGGTTAGAATATTGTTAGATTATGGTTCATTTTAACGGGTTTTCATTCAAGGTTATTTCTTTTTGTTTAAAACCTTTGGGACTTTTAATTGGTGGTGGTAACAGTATTTACTTATTTTTGAGATCCTAATGTAGGTGTGAAGCAGTTCGAAGAATCTTTGTACACAACACGGGACTTGATTATCGATTCATGTAAATGGGTGAGTGAGACATAAGCGGAATTAGAATAGAATAGATTCTTGATTTTTAAAATAGAACATGTGTTTGTATAAAAGAATATATAATTTTATTCTTATGAAATTTCAACTTGTATATTTATAAATTAGCTGCCCTAGCTCTTTTTGTGCTTACTCTTCTCCTTCTCGGGCTTCTTTTTATGCTCAAAACCCTTTTTCCCTTTTATTATTTCCTCCTCTTCTTTTTTTTAATCTTGAACTTTTAAATAATAACTCTAAATTAATAAACGGTTTTGTCACCTAAGCTTAATATTATGTATTTTTTTTTATTGGATCTGAGTCTGTTATGTTTTTGCAGGCTATCACAAGCCTGAGACTGAAATTAATTTTGGGCTTCCTTCCATTTCTCTTGGGCTTGGGTCGCGGTTGGAAACCGACGGATAGGTTGACCAAGTCAACTACGCGTCAATAGCTATTTTTCACGTGTTTTTGTAACGGCTCTTTTATAGCCGACTTAGGAGAGCTAATTCCATCTGTGTCTAATGAGTGAAAGATCTTGACCGTTTATACATCTCTCCACCGCTTAATCCTAACCGTCTATTTTGAGCCCCCTTACTATATAAGAACATCTCCTCAGCTCTCAGTCGCATCTCTGACGGAGTCGGTGAGAAACCGGCCTTGACGTTTAAGATTTGCGGGCAGCGTTTGTTTCTCTCCTTTTCTACCGGTTTATTCATTTAGGTTTCGGTTCGGAGCTATAGTTGAATTGGTTTTTTAGATCTTCTTATTAAATCTATCGTGATTGAAATCAGTTGAATCTCGGATTTTGTGTTTCGTGGGTAAATTGTTCTTGAATGGACGGTGATCCTGTGATTCTGTTGGTGTCGATCCGTTGTGATGATGATCGTACATTTAACTCTGTTTCCCATTTTTCTGATAAGATTTAACGAAATGGTGATACAAATCGGTTGAATTTCGGATTTTGTGTTTCGTAGGTAGATTGGTCTTGGAATGGATGGTGATCTTGTGATTCTGTGGACGTTGATCCGTTGTGATGAGGGTAGTACATCTAACTCTATTAAATCGATCTGTTTTGACATTTATTCTTCTCGGGTTTTGGTACCGATCAATTTTGAACGTAATGACTCCCTTTTTAGTTAATTATGTTGTGCGGATGGACCGATGGTTCTTTTGGGTTCCCTTCCTCTGTTACGAATTCCATATTTCTTGTTTGTTTTGGAGCTTTGGAAGATATTTCAATATACGCTTTCTGCCTGCAGTGTTGTTGCCGGCTTTCCTAATCCTTGAACTTCCTCACGGCCGTAATCGCCACTGTTTACACGTTGTGAATAATTTTTGTTTTTTGAGGTTAATTAGTAGTACGTCAGGAGATAAAAGATTATTAGTATTTTTATTTTTTTGGTGAATGCAGTTAGAAGAAGAGATGAGGAGATGGTATATGGCCATGGCCTGAAGAAGAAATGACAAGGATGAAAGATTCGGAAGAAATTAGAAAGGATGAAAGATTTGGAAGCTGTGGGTGGTAAGAGGTCTTGTAAGGGCTTATCCTTGCACTTTTATATCTCCACCTATCTTTATTTTTCACTGAGATTGTCTCAATTTAAAATTTGGTGTTGGTGAATTTGGATTGTTCGTCTAGGAGGTATTGGTTGGATCTCTTGGTTTTGAAGACTTCCATCGGTTTGGATCTCTGTCTCAACCTTTAAGGAGATTTGCTTCCTGTTCTTATATCTCAAAAATACTTGATTTTGGAGGATCTTGTATTGGTATTGAGCGTGATATGACCTTTGACCCTCTTTTTTTTTATTATTCAGATGCTGTTTGGGGTTAATTAAAAGGACAGGGATAAAGGATCTTGCAGCAGTTAAATTTTTGTTGGACCTCCATCTTGCTTGATAATGGGTTTTATGTGCAGTGGTTCTTGGCTGGCCATTCTATAGTGGGCAAAATTTTTAAGTCTTCATTTTCTTCTCTTGTTTTTTTTTACAATCTTTGCAGGATCTTCACTACCAACCTTTCTCTGTTTATCAATTTCTCTTCTTTTTTGGCTTGACACATGGTTTTTGTAGGTTGTTGTTGACAACAGAAATCTTAGAATTCTACCATCAGCGCATAAGA